CCCCCCCCGGGGGCAGCATGGTCAGCGAGGGCCCGCCCCCGGCCTTGGCGTCCCAGTGACCTGCATGGAGGAATCTCCTGAGAGATTTTTTGATAGTGGGAGGCTTTGACTTCCTGCATTTTCTGACAGTTTGGAATAAAGTAAGGCAGTGTGTTCAAAATAATCTACAACGGTTAGGTCTGCGCCCCCCCTCCTTTTTTACAGATGTTCCCATCTTCACCCCTCTGCCTCCTTCCACCCAGCCCCACCCCCCTTCCCTTTGGCCATCCCCACACTGTTTTTGGTGTCCATGGGCTATCCATATATGTTCTTTGGCTAATCCTTTCACCTTCTTTCATCCAGTCCTCCCTTTCCCTCTCCCTCTGACAGCTGTCAGTTTGTTCCATGTGTCCATGCCTCTGTTTCTATTTTGTTTATCAGCTTATTTTGTTCATTAGATCTACTTATAAGTGAGAATATATGATACTTGTCTATTTCTTTGACTGGCTTATTTCACTCAGTATAATAATCTCCAGGTCCAGCCATGCTGTCACAAAAGGTAAGATTTCCTTTTTTTTTATGGCCACGTAGTATTCCACTGTGTAAATGTGCCACAGCTTTTTTATCCACTCACCTGCTGATGGGCACTTGGGTTGTTTCTAGATCTTGGCTATTGTAAATAATGCTGCTAAGAACATAGGGGTGAATATATTCTTTCAAATTGATATTTCGAGATTCTTCAGATATGTTCCCAAAAGCGGGATCACAGGCTCAAAAGGCAGCTCCATTTTTAATTTTTTGAGACAACTCTATACTGTTTTCTAGAGTGGCTGCACCATTTTGCATTCCCCCCAACAGTGCACTAAGGCTCCCTTTTCTCCGTATCATTGTCAGCACTTGTTGTTTGTTAATTTATTGATGGTAACCATTCTGGCAGGTGTGAGGTGATATCTCACTGATTTAAAATATATATATCTTTATTGATTTCAGAAAGAGGAAGGGAGAGGGAGAGAGATAGAAACATCAATGATGAGGGAGCCATTGATCAGCTGCCTCCTGCATGCCCCCGACTGGGGATCGAGCCCGCAACCCGGGCATGTGCCCTGACTGGGAATCAAACTGAGATCTGGATCCTAGGTGGATGCTCAACTGCTGAACCACGCCTGGCTGGGCTAAAATTCATCTCTTGATAGCAGACTCCTGTGTGCAGGGAGTGCCTGGGACTTGTGTGGTCAATGACAGGCTGACGCGGCCACACTACGCCCTTACTGTCCACAGGCCTGGAGATGTTCTTCAATAGACTATTTACAAGGCCTGGTGATGTCTGAGTCCTTGTGGTCACAGGCCCTGGCGGGACAAGGTTCTACTGAAGGGACAAAGAGAAAGAAACAGAGAGGATGACCCAGCTGAGGAGTGAGCAGGTCAAAGCCCATGATGCATTGGGCACTGACTAGCCACAGGCCCTGACCGTGCCCAGTCCTCACAGCCTCTCCTGTACCCACCTGCAACAGACTCAGCACAGCAAACACACAGGTTCTGGAGTTTTTGGTTCTTCCATTTATTTTGTCCCAAATTTTAGGATATTGTCCTTTAATTAATCCATAAGCCCTTCATGGCAAGAAGTGAAAAAACAAATTCCCCTCCAGACCTTTAGTTCCATAAAGCAGTAAGAAGCTGCAGCTCAGTCACCACGAAGTGAAGACTGGGATGGGGAGGGCCCAGCCTCGCCTCTGCTGGACAGAAAAGTGTGGGGAGGGGCGTGGGGGGCAGGGATGGGCCAGCTTCCCACCGCCTCACATTATGCTGACAGGAGCACACACACACTCAGGTGATCTTTGCAGAGGTTCTTGAGTCACAAAATGGGAGTGGGAACAAATCTCGCATCACTCAGTCCCTCACAAGGCACACGCCTAACGCTGTGGAAGAAAGTAATCGTGAACAAATTCAGGTCAGTGGCTGTAAGTGGTGACATTCTCAACAGCCCACCACATGCTCAATATTTCCCAAAGAATCCATCACCCAGTCCTGTCCCCTTTGCCCCAACCCCTCCTCACATAGGGGTCGCACCTATAGAAGCCCTGAGATGTAAATCAGAGCCTGGGGTAGAACAAAAGAGTATGTGGTCTCTAGGAAAGGAGACTAAAGGAGGAACTATGAGTGGGTTAGGTCTCCCTTGGGCTCCCATCTGCACTGTCACAGGGTCTCAGGGGTCACCCCCCTCCATACTCACTGGCAGCCAGTGCATAAATCTCTCTTTTTCCACCTGTGGGAAGAAAACATCCTGTGAGAAAACAGGGACGAGGCAGGGTCAGGAGGTCCTAAAGGAACTTCTAGTCCTGGACCCCAGAGAAGCTTCCAGAACTGTGACTACAGACCCAGGGCAGGATCAGGAAGCCTGAGGAAAATATATGTGCAGGGACTGGACCAACTGCCCTCCTGGAGGTCTGTCCTCAGCAGGGACTTTCCACTCTGACCCGGGACTGTTGGGAACCAGGTCCCCATCACTAGAATCATCAAGGTCATAAATTTGTCCCTCATTTTCACACGTGCCTTACTAAAGAGTAAGTGTTAGCACACAGTGCCCCAGGCTGGGCCATCACACATGTGGGGATGGCACTTGCCATTAATGAAGCGGAGCACACTTCTACCTGGGCTTGAAACCCCCACTGGGACAAGAAACTCAGACCCCAGTCCTTGCCTACCTGAGCGCTTCCTCCTGAACATCACAGCTGCAGCAGCCACAGTTCCACAGATCACAGCCCCAAGGAAGAACAGGACAACAATGATGACCACATTGGGGATGGTGGCCTGAGGAGCTGGCTCTGGGAAGGGAAGGGGAGGTGAGGGCCCTGATCCCCAGGCCTCAGCCTCAACCCTGGGGAAGTCCTCCAGCACTTCCCCGAGAAGAGCTCTGTGTCCATGTCCCCTCCTTACCCCAACTCAGGGTCACAGGCTCGGGCAGCCCCTCGTGCCGCACATGGCAGGTGTAACTCTGCTCCTCTCCAGCGGGCACTGCCACAGCCGCCCACTTCTGGAAGGTCCCATCCCCTGCAGGCCTGGTCTCCACAACCTCCATGTCCTGGGACTGGTCCTCCCCATCACGCAGCCAGGTCAAGGTGATCTCCGCAGGGTAGAAGCCGAGGGCCCAGCACTTCAGGATGACCTTATTGTCAGAGATGGGGTGGTGGGTCACATGTGTCTTTGGCGGGTCTAAAGAGAAGGGTGAGAAAATTCAGGAACTTTGCATTGTCAGGGGGCACTCAGCAGCACCGATGTGATCATCTTGAGAATGGACAGGACAACTGGGGTGGGGGAAGGGATCCCACAACCCAGACACCTGCCTGGACATAGGCATCTGGGGATGATCTCCTAGCCTTTGGAAAGTTCTAGAATCAGAGTGACAGCCCCGGGTAGAAGGGAATTCTCTGAGGGGGAGAAACAAATTCTGGTCCTGACCTGTGTGCAGGCCAAGTGAGTGAGAAAAGTCAGCGTCAGACCTCAAATACACTGGGTGAGGGGCTGCGAACAGGGCCTGAGGGACAAGTCCCCCATGGGTCCCAGAGCCACTGCCAGGGTCAAGGGGAACCGATGGGTTATTTCAGGGTGGTTGGTCTCCCCTCCACTCCAGGAGAGACTGCACCCCTAACTGTGCCTGAGAGAAGGGTGGGAGTCACTTCTGGTCCTGGATCTGAAAACCCAGGTGGACTCAGTCTTCTGACTCAAAGCAGGGGTACCTGACCCGATCCCATTTCCTGGCTCCCCGTAGGAAGCCCAGGCCGAGGGGAGCTGAGGGAGGCCCCTTGGCCCCTGGTACCCGCGCGCTGCAGAGTCTCCTTCCCCATTTCCAGGAATCTCTGGAGCATCTGCAGGCACAAGCCCTGCAGTCGGCTCCTGATGGCATCAGCCTCGCCCGCCGCCTCCCACTTGCGCTGGGTGATCTGCGCCGCCCGGTCGGCGGAGGTCCAGGAGCGCAGGTCATCGTTCAGCGCGATGTAGTCGGTGCCGTCGTAGGCTTGTTGGAAATAGCCAAGAAGGAGGCGCCCATCCGGTCCCATTTCACAGCCCCACATGGCCTGGAAGGTATGAGACCCTGACCCCGCCCCCGAAACCCGGGGATTAAGCCAAAACTGAAAGTGCAACTGGCCACAGTCCCCGCGGGCGCCTCCCGGGTGGGGGGCTGGGCAGGTGCCCCTGCTCCGGGGCGGAGCTCGGGCCCGGCCTCGGGGCGCCCCCGGCCGTCGGCGGCTCACCGTCGCGGCTCTGGTTGTAGTAGTCGATGAACGTCTGCAGGTTCACGCGGGACGCCCGCGCCGAGGCCCGCGCGTTCCGGGTGCTCAGCTCCCAGTAGCCGGGCTCCTCCAGCTCCACCAGCTCCATCCACCCCGCCCGCGGCTCCGCCCTCTGGCTCCTGGAGTCGCTGTCGAACCGCTCGAACTGGGTGTCGTCCACGTAGCCGACTTCGAGGTACCGGGGCTCCCCGCGGCCCGGCCGGGACACGGCGGTGTGGAAGTAGACCAGGGAGTGGGAGCCTGGGGGGAAGGCGGGCTGAGACCGGGGACCCTCCTCCCCGCGCGGGACCTGGGGCCGCGGTGGGTGGGACCAGAGGGGAAGGGTCAGGGGGCCCGGGAGACGGAAAAGGGGCGAATGCACAGAGAAGGGAGGGATTGGGACCGGGCAGGGTGGCAGCGGTGTGGTGGAGACGCGCCTTCCCCGGGGTCCTGCGCCCCCGCCGGGTCCCGCCGCTCCTCCCCGCAGAGGCCGGTCCCTCCCGACCCCGCACTCACCCGCCCCGGGCTGGGTCCTAACCAGGGTCGGCCAGAGCAGCAAGAGGAGGGTTGGGGGCCTCATGACCCAAAGCCTCCGAAACAGAGACTGAGACTCGGGGACAGGGCGGGAGCGGCGGTGACGCTGATTGGCTTCTGTGGAAGCCAGACACCAATGGGAGCGAGAGCCGTGGGCTGTCATCGGTGTGCAGGAGAAAACGGTTTGAGGGAGAAACGGAACCGCCTGAAGCCTGAGCGGGAAGCTAAAGTGAGTGCTTTTAGACCTTTCATATACAGAGTTTCTAAACTTTGTCAGAGCACTGCAGTCAGAGTTACAAGCTGCTAATCTCTGCTTCCCACACTGTATAAGTGTGATTCTGGATTGTCACATTGTAAAAGGAGCCTCGAGTCTGTCTGTGTGAGTCCCCCAATGGTCAACACAAAGAAGCCAGGGAAGCAGGTGGTTACTGTGCAGTTCAACAGTAGCAAGTACATCCTCAAAGTTACAAGAATTCAATGTGGACAAATGCCCTTCGCCAGGGGCTTGCATTGCCTGTTTTATAAATTATTCATACCTAAGCAGTGTGCATATTTTACCAGGATGCATTTTTTAAATTGATGAACATAAGGTGGCAATTAGTTTTTAGGGAGCTCCAAAGAATGTATTAAGTACCAAATGCAAAGAACACCCTAGCAGGCTCTGTCGATATATTGACTCTAGATCCATAAAACATATTTAAATCTGACGGTTCCACTGCTTTAGAATCTCCACCTTCATTCTTTCCCTCTCCCCTGCTTCTCCAGCACTTCTCTGTCTCACCCTTCAGGCCTCTTAGCCCCTTTGTCTCTCTCACCCTCTCACTCCTGATTGTGGGTGGCATTTGCACCACCCCCTCAGCAGCCACCCAGGGACTGTTCTCCCCACAGGGGTCAGCAGTCCTGACCATATGAGTCCAATTGTGTCATTTCTTCTCTAAAAACACTCCAGTTGCTCCATCTCACTATGGGAGGCCTCTAGAGCAGGGTGGGGAATCATGAAGCTGTTTCTGGCACATAGTAGACCTTAAATTAATTGTTGTTGAATGAATGAATGACAATTGTATTTAAAATTTAATTTCCAATCCCAGCTGCTGTGGCCCAACAATTGAGCATGGACCTATGATCCAGGAGATTCGGGTTCCATAGATTCCGGATCAGGGCACATGCCTGAGTTGCTTGTTAGATTCCCAGCTGGGGGCATGTAGGAGACAGCAGATCAATGACTTGCTCATCACTGATGTTTCTATCTCTCTCCCCCTCCATTCATCTGTCTGAAGTCAATACAATTATAAAATACATAAATAAATAAGTAAAATGGTTAAGATAGTAAATATAAAAGGGAAAGAAAAAAATTTAATTGCATACATAAAATCATAAAATAAAAAATACAAAAATATTAGGAAAGATTTTATTAGATGTAACTACCATACATGTCAGTTCATCAATTTATTCCAGTGGAAAAAATGCTGTGCGCTTTTCTGTTGCCTGTGATCTGGGACCACTCCTGATACCACTTGTGTTAGTGAGGGTCTCTGAGGAGCAGACACCAATACAGTATTTTTTAAAAAAACACATATCTTTATTGATTTCAGAGAGAGGAAAGGAGGGGGAGAGAGAGAGAGAAACATCAATGATGAGAGAGTCATTGATCGGCTGCCTAGCCCACAACCCGGGCATGTGCCCTGACCCAGAATTGAACCCCGGTCTCCTGGATCCTTGGTCGATGTTCAACCGCTGAGCCACGCCTGGCCGGGCACCAATACAGTGTTAACCATCCCAGCATGTGCACTGACCCAGAATTGAACCCTGGTCTCCTGGCTCCTTGGTCGATGTTCAACCGCTGAGCCACGCCTGGCCGGGCACCAATACAGTGTTAACCATCCCAGCATGTGCACTGACCCAGAATTGAACCCTGGTCTCCTGGATCCTTGGTCGATGTTCAACCGCTGAGCCACGCCTGGCCGGGCACCAATACAGTGTTAACCATCCCAGCATGTGCACTGACCCAGAATTGAACCCTGGTCTCCTGGCTCCTTGGTCGATGTTCAACCGCTGAGCCACGCCTGGCCGGGCACCAATACAGTGTTAACCATCCCAGATATTATTAGAGGAAACACCTGCAAGAGAGGGAGCAGAGAGGTGGAAGATTCATCAAATCTCAATGAGTGTTTCCTACAATGGTGATCTACTGGTGGTAAATTCCCTCAGCTTCTGTATTTCTGGAAAAGTCTTTATTTCTTCTTCCTATCTAAAGGATAACTTTGCTGGATATATTCTTATTGGATGATAATTTCTCTTCTGTAGTTTGAATATTTGATTCCACACTCTCCTAGCTTGTTGGGTTTCTGCTGAGAAATCTCATGTTACTCTAGCGGGATTTCCTTTAAAGTTTGCTGTCTTTTCCTTGGCTGCCTTGAGAATGGTTTCTTGTCCTTAATTTTGGACAGTTTTAATATAACGTGCCTTTGAAAAGGGCTTTTTTTGGTTGAGATAACTAGGTTTTCTGTTTGCTTCTTAGATTTGAGGACCTATATCTTTCCATAGGTTGGGGAAGTTTTAGTCAAGTATTTTTTTGAATAGTCTCTCTGCTCCCTTCTCTCTTTGTCTTTCTCTTTCTCTGTCTCTCTGTCTCTTCTCCTTTTGATATACCCATTATTCTTATATTAATCTTTCTGATGGTATTAGATAGTTCTTGCAAAGTTCTTTCTGTTTTCTTTTTTTTTTTTTAAACTCTCAAGTCTGTCTCTTCTTCCCTCTGCATCGTTTATAGATTTCTATCTTTGATATTACTAATTCTTTTCTCCATCTGGTCAGCTCCATTTGCTAGGTATTTTATTCTCTTTGATGCAATTGTTTTGTTAATGTCTTTTTCTGATAGTTTGCTGTTAGTGTATAGAAACATAATAGATTTCTGAATATTTTTTGTATCCTGAAATTTTACTGAATTCATTTATTAGTTCTCATAGTTTCTAGTTGAATCTTTAGGGTTTTTTATACATAGTATCATGTCATCTGACGACAGTGATAGTTCTGCTTCTCGCTTCCTATTTGGATAACTTTTATTTCTCTCTTTTTTTTTGGTCTGATTGCTGTGGCTAGGACTTCCAGTGCTATGTTGAATAAAAGTTGTGATAGTGGGCATCTTTGTCTTGTTTCTGATCTTATGGGAAAATCTTTCAGCTTTTCATCACTCAGTATGTTACCTGTGGGTTTGTTATATATGGACTTTATTATGTTCAGATATGTTCCCTCGATACTCATTTTGTTTGACTTTCTGTGTTTTTTTCTGTGCATTAGGTGAAACAGCCATCTCTCCCAGTCTTGAAGGAAACTCCTTGTGCAGGAGTTTCCTCATGTAGACTGTGTGTGCTGGGCATCTTTAGTAGGCCGGCTGGTATGGGACGGCACCCCAGAGGATCCCGGGGGTAAGCTGTGCGATGCCTTCCCGGTAGACTGGCTGGAGCTGGAGCTGGTGCAGACTGTGTGGCCCAGGGAGGGCCTGGTGCACCAGGGCTATCTTGGTGGGCCAGGTGGAGGTAAAGGTGGATCTGGCACGGGCCATAGGAAGACCTGGGGACAAGCCAATCCAAAGTCACCTTGGCCGAGTAGCTGGAAGTTGTAACCGGTGTGGGCCTAGGCTGCTCCCGGGGGTGAGCTGCACCAAGGCTGCCGAAGTTGGTTGGCTAAAATTTGTGGTTAGATCAGGCATGAGCTGCTGGGAGTCCTGGAATTAAACCTCACCACAGTCTGGAGTTATAGTTGGACAGGCATGGGCCACACAATGTCCCGAGGACAAGCCATAGAGCTGGGTTAGGTCTTGTCACACTGGGTAGCTTTCTGCATGAAACAGCCTTTTCCATCCGTTTTCTTTCAGTCTGTCAGTCTGTGTGCTCTTTAGATTTGAAGTGTCTCTTGTAGGCATCATATGTATTTTTGTGTGTGTGTTTTTTTTTTTTAAATCCATCTAGCCCAGCACAGACAGAGTGCTGAGACTACGCTCCTTTCTGTGTGGTCAAGGTGGGGGAGGGGGGTACACAAAAACTGTCACTCTCTGGAGAAAGTTCCAGAAGTTAACCTCCCATTTACCAGGTACTCTAGAGCTAGTGAGTGGATTTCCTTTCTTTGTAGTCTAGGGGCCCTTTAAACCTCTGTTCTTCCCCTTTGCCCCAGTACAAGTGACTCTGCATGTGGGCACCTCAGTGATATCTCCCTACTGCAGGCCACTGTGTGGGGCGTGGGGAGCCTATGATACCATGTCTCTGTCCCTACACGTTTCTATATAGTGCCTCTGTTGTTCATTGTGCAGAAGCTGTTCAGCTGGCCCTTTGCTCTTCCTCAGGGGGAACTGGCCTGTCTATAGACGTTGGTTCAGTGTGTTCGTGGGGGGAAGCGAGCGCGGAGTCTTCCTACGATGCCATCTTGGACCCTCCTCCATGACAGGACTTTTTTCCCCCCCATTGCTTTTCAGAGAGAGTGGAAAGGAGAGAGGGGGAGAAAGAGAGAGAAACATCAATGTGAGAGAGACACATTCGTTGGTTGCTTCCCACACGCACCCCAACCAGGGCCGGGAATTGAACTTGCAACCGAGGCATGTGCCCTTGGCCAGAATCAAACCCGGGACCCTTTAGTCCTCGGGCCGACGCTCTAACCACTGAGCCAAACCGGCCAGGGCACGAAAGGATTTCTTAAACAGAACACAGAAGACATTTACCACAGAGTAAAATTCGATACTTGTTACTACCTTAAAATTAATAACTGCTGTTAACCAAAATACATCATAAAAAGTGAAAAGGCAAGCCATAGAGTGGGAGGAATTATGCGCCACCCATTTTCCCAACTGAGGGCTAATACACGGAGTACGGGAAAACTGCTGAAATCAACGAGCGTAAGGTGGACTGCCTAGTAGATAAGTGCTCCAATGCTTCCAATCTGCCAGAAGGCAGGGGAGCACTGGGGATACGTGGATCATACCATAAGGTAATATGGAGAGAGCCACCTCCAAGAGCACAGAGCACTCCTAGGCGAATAACTTGGAGAGATATATGCTTATGAGCACAAGCACATATATGCTT